GTGTTTGTTGGTATTATGCCATGTGATTCTTTTGTATTTTGCTTTTTTCATTATTGAGAATTTCCTGTACTTGTACATAAATATCTATCTTATATTTTAACATACTACATTTCTCCTAGTAGAGATGAGTTGTAGTTATAGGATGACATTAAGAACATTATACATGAAGAAAGCAAAAAGTCATTAAACAAATAGGCAAGTAAGAAAAGACCAAAGTGAATGTTAGAGGAGACTCTAAAACTTGCTCTTGAACAGAGTAGCTAACACAAATAGAAGAAATGATGACGTTAAAGTGCTGAAGAGAAATTTTCAAATAAGCTTTAGAAGACAAAGTCAAGTATTTTGATGTAATGTGCAAAGACCTGGAATTAGAAAAACATACTCAACGTATCTCATGGTGAAAGAATGTAAGAAAAAAACCAAAGCCTTGAGTTGTAATATTGTAGGATTCTGTGAGAAAATATTGAATAATTCAGGAAAGCATCAAGAGAAGATAATGGAAGGAATACACAGTCACTGTACTAAGAGGAATTGGTCGATGGTTAATCATTTCAGAAGGTAGTGTATGGTCAAGTACCAATGGTATTCAAGGAAGTAATCCAAGCTGCACTAAAGGCATTGATGTAAAACAAGGCTCCAGGAATTGATGGAATACCAATTAAGATGTTACAATAAACTGACAGTAGTGCTGGTAGTACTCACCAGTGTATGCCAAGTGATTTGGAAAACAGTAACTCGGACAATTTACTGCCAAAAATCCATATTTATGCCCATTTCAAAGAACGTTGACCCAACAGAATGCAGGAATCATTGAATAATAGCACACGCAAGTAAAATTTTATGAAGATAATGCATAAACATTTATAGCAGTACATCCACAGGGAACTGCCAGAAATTCAAGCCAGAGTAAAAAGAGGACATAGAATGAAGGGTGATATCATTGCTGACATCAGATGGATTTTAACCCAAAGCAGAGATACTTAACCTGTGTTTATTATGCAAAGGCATTCAACTGTTTGGGTCATAACAAACTATGGGTAACATTACAAAAATGGGAATTTCAAAACACTTCATTGTGCTCATGCGGAACCTGTACGTAGACCAACAGGATTACAACTCACTGTAAAGAAAACAAAAATCTTTACAACTGGACCAATAAATAACATGTTGATAAATGGGAAAAAAGATTGAAGTTGTCAGAGATTACCTTTTATTTGAATCAACACTCATGGAAGCAGTAGTCAAGAAATCAAATGCCATATTGCACTAGGCAAATCTGCTGCAAAAACACCTCTTTAAAGTGTTGAAGAGCAAAGATGTCACTTTGAGGACTAGGGTGTGCTTCATCCAAGCCTTGGTATTTTCAACTGCCTCATTTGCGCAGGGAAGCTGGACAATGAATAAAGAAGACAGGACAATGCAATTACGAAGAATATTGAAATTACAAACAAATCTGTAGAAAATTTGTTCTGTTTGTATAAACAGAAGAACAAATCTATTTGTTGGAAGAAGTACATCCAGAATGGTCCTTAGAAGCGAGTCTTTGTCTTACGTACTTTGCAAGACTTTGTCTTACGTACTTTGGACATGTTGTCAGGAGGTACCAGTCCCTGGAAAAGGACATCATGCCTGGCAAAATGGAGCTTTCAGTGAAAAAGAGTAAAATGCCCAACCAGATGGACTGACACAATGGCAGCAACAGGGTTCAAACGTAACAATAATTATGATAGCACAGAACTAAGAAGTATGTTTCATTCTGTTGTTCATAGGGTTGCTATGAGTCAGAACCAACTGGATAGCACCTAACAATAACAATAACTATATAGTTTATTTAGATACTGCTTGATCAATGAACGTTCAGGTTCAGATTGTGTTTTCAGACTTTTTTTTTTTTTTTTTTTTAAGCAGTAAAACTTTATTTTAGTGAATTCTCAAGTGTAATCCCAGTATATAAAATTAAGAACATTTGAAATTGGTCTACCTTTCAGTTAGGATATAAAAACAGAAAAGTTGCTGTTTTTATATATAAATTATTGTATATTCCTGAGTGTTTTTGTGTATACCCCCTGATATTGTTGTTAGGTGCCATCGAATTGGTGCCGACTCTTAGCGACCCTACGCACAACTCCCTAACTTTCACTTGCACGTGAAGTTATTGAAAATACCATGGCTTGGGTCAGGTGCACCTTAGTCCTCAAGCTGACATCTTTACTCTTCAACACTCTGAAAAGGTCTAGTGCAGCAGATTTGCCTAGTGCAATACGCTGTTTGATTTCTTGACTGCTGCTTCCATGAGTGTTGATGGTTGATTCAAGAAAAATGAACTTGTCTTTGACGAATTCAGTCTTTTCTCCATTGATAAGAATGTTGCTTATTGGCCCAGTGGTGAGAATTTTTGTTTTCTTGACATTGAGATGCAATCCATACCAAAGGCTGTGGTCTTTGATCTTCATCAATAAGTATTTTAAGTCCTCTTCACTTTCAGCAAGCAAGGTTGTATCATCTGCATATTGCAGGTTGTTAATGAGTCTTCCTCCAATCCTGATGCCACATTTTTTCTTCATAGAACCCAGCTTCTCGGATTATTTGCTCAGCATAAAGGTTGGATAAATATGGTGAAAGAATACAACCCTGTCACACACCTTTCCTAATTTTAAATTTAAAACAGCCTCATATCCCCCCCCCCCAAAAAAAAACACAACAGAGGGAATGGAAGTAATGATGATACATGGAGGAGATTGTAATAATTGCAATGAAAGAATGGCGTAAAGCTGATGTTCTCCCATGTAAACTATCACTCGTTCACAAAAAAATAAATAAATAAATAAATAAATTTTTAAAAATCTACTGCTATAGCTCTGGTAGCATAGTGGTTACGAATCGGGTTGCAAACCGCAAGGTCACAGTTCGAAACTACCAGCTGTTCCATGGGAGAAAGATGATGAGGCTTCCTGCTCCCATAAAGATTTATAGCCTCAGAAACCCTGTATAGGGTCGCTATGAATTGGAACCGATTATTCGATGAGTACGCCTTTCATTGTAACAAGGAATGTACTGCACACCCTTTGAACGAGACACTGTTATTGCTGTAATGGCTTACTGGAGTCTTGTAAAACGAATCTTTAGTCTCCTCTCCTTTACCTCCTGCTGAAAAGCTGGCCGCTGGCCAGTGTTGGGTGACCTCAAACATACTGACACTAGCACTAGGGTCCAATGTGCAGAGCTTTACTTGCGTACCTTTCTATTCTCTCTGTCCCCTGAAAATCACTGTCATGAGAGTTCTTTGAGAGAAAAGCATCTGACCTGCTGCTTAGAGTTGTTTTATTTTCAGGTTCTCAGGAAATTAGGTTATAATTATTATTGGAGGCCAGTCAGAGAGTTTGACCATGTAAGAACCGAAATATCAATTAATGTAACAATAGTAAACTATCACCAACAAAGATGTCCTTTGTGATTACTAAGGCCCTTTGTCTGATATGAAAGAGCTTCCATAGCTATGAACAAGAAACAAACTTGAAAGACTGGAATAAAAGGCACTGCTATAGCAGGGAGCACTGTGCATCATCTCTAGATTGTGCCTGGCACAACTGCCCTGGGAAACGGCCGCTGGGCCAGCCTTCCCACTGGGTCTTTAACAAACAGCCACTGATTTTTTCAGAGGTAGGATTCCTGGGCTTGAATGAAGAATACTTCATTCTCATTTTTGTTCTAGGGCTGGGCCTGTCACCTGCCTTCACCAGGGAACACATTGGGAAGGGTAGGTTATGGGGAGGAAGGAAAGAAGATGCCCTTCCTCTTGAAATAGGGTTGGAGAGCCAATTCTGAAGATCAGAATGTGGGGAATGGACTCTGGTGGTTGGGATTCCTCTGCGACCTCCCCCGTTGCACAACCATGTCTTTTCCTCTGTGGAGGTGCGTGTCTGCCTCATGAACATTGGAGTACTCATTTCTCTTGTCAGCCCAGATTATCATGACTATCACTTCCCTATTTTGCACCTGGTAATATCTGCTTGTTTGTAGCCTGTGTAGCCTCCAGATGGCCTACTGTGGGGCCCTAATTTCAGCATGGAGGAGGGAACATTGGTGGTGTTTGGCCAGTTTAGTGCCATTAGCAGCTCTCTCCTTCCCTCCTCTCTCAGTGTCCACACCCAGGACAGACATGCCCTAGAAAGTGTCTGCAGCTCATGTCTCATCTCATAAGTCTTTCTCACTTGCCTTTTCAAACCCTCTCCATGTCCTCTGTTTCCATGGTTTATGACTGCTTTCCAGTTTGCATATTTTCCGTTTGCTTACCACGTTGAAATCTCTCTGGCTCTTACTAAGGTTCTTCTCCAGATGCTTCAGCTTAGATAACTTCTCTCAACGCTAGCATTGTGGAGAAAGCATGGTACACCAGCTTGGCTGTCAAATTGCCTCTTCAGGGGTGAGGCTGGCTACTTCTGGAGGGAACGTATGAGTAGGCAAAGGGCTGTTCAGTTGGCATCCCTGTACCCCATGCACATTGCCATGTTCAGGATAGGCCTCAATGCTGCCAAGGGTTCCATGGCTCCAGAGGACCCTGCTGGACAGTTAGAAGATACCAAGATCTATGTAGCAATTGTTCCTGCATAGTTCTTAGTGAATGGTGGTAGCTCCCAGCTCTCCTCAAAGAGTAGACCCTTATTGTTAATGATGCCTCTCTTAGGCTAGTGCCGCCAGCTAAACTAGACCCAACAAGTTGAGTCAATTAAAACACCACTGGGTCTTGAGCTCAATGGAAGCCCTTCCGGGCAAGGGTGAGGTCATCCAGGGGTTGGTTTTGCCAATTTTCAAGGCACACCTTTCAACGGCATCTGCTCTGGTCCTCCTAATAGAAGTTTTGAAATCCTGTGGTTTCATGTTTTGATGGGTGGTTTTGCACATATAACCAGCCAAACTGTCCTCACAAATTGCATACTCCATTTGAAAGTTGGTTAGATGTCTTCCCAACCTTTTAAGTGTCTTCCTTTTTTCATTTTCAGTCCCAGGTAAATCATCACAGTGCTGCTAGTAATGAAACCTACCAGGAACGGTTGGCTCGGCTAGAAGGAGATAAGGAGTCTCTCATATTGCAGGTGGGTCTTTTTGGTGAGAACCAGCTTATCTGTTACTTTCAGTTCCATAGCTTTTCCTAAGTGGGAGAGCAGTAAAAGGGATTTTCAGTATTGGTTTTATCCTGTCCCAAAGTGTGTTTTTTTAAAAAAAGATTTCCTGAAACCAAGCAAAAAGTACCTGGGGAACAGTTTAACTTTGGACTTGATTGTGGTTTGTGAATTTCTTCATTTATTTATCATGCACTGTCTAGCACTTAACTCCACAAACAGGATGCTCTGTGGCCAAGTGGACAAAAAGAGGGCCCTGCTAGTCAGGACTCTTATGAGGGAGATAAGATGTGTCCTCATGTCACTAATAGAACAGAGCCATGAATGCTACAGGCCTAAGGGTGAATGCTAGTGGGATCAGATCCAAAATTGTCTAGGACTGGATCAAGGCTCATCACTTTGACACCAGATCCCCAGGGGCTGGTAATATGAATTAAGCCTTTTGTGACTCTCTTGCTTCAAAGAGAGGAACTCTAAAACTTTCAGTGAAGAAATACAGTCAAAGGAATTTTTTTTTCCTTTCTGAAAGCTTGCATTCCCTGGCAGGACATAAAGTAAGGTATTCTTATGGGAGGCCTATTGCTGAAGCGGGAGCTGTTTGCCGTGTGAACTCTCAATTGTAGCAAGCATTTATATGGCTCATATGCATTAACAATTTAGAGAAAAATGCAAAGATTGATATCCTAGTCCTGGATCCTTACAAAGCTTTAAGGGTTGGGGACAAAACCCTCCCCAGGCTCTCGGCTTAGAGCACTAAGGCGGTGGGACTGTGCAGTGTATGTTTTTGTTTCTACTTCTCTTTCTTTTTACCTTATTGGTGTAATATTTAATATTTTATGAACATGAGAATAATCAATGGTGATTTTAGAAACTTTGAAGAATCTAAAAGTTTAAAGAAGCATGTTTATCATCAGTCTTTTGTTTTCCTGTTCTCCATTTTATGAGAATTAAATTCACATACCAAATATTCAGTTTTGCAACTTAGCTTTTTCTTCCTCACTTCATTGGTTTGTTTGTTGAAAAAATATTGGCGTGTCTACGACTTGTGGGTCACTGATTTTTGATGCTGAGAATACAAGCAGTGACCAAATGAGCTCCTGTTCTTGTAAAGCTTCAATTCTAGAGTGTGTATTGATGGGCTCTGGGGGGTGAGAGGAAGGGTGGGTGGTAAACACACTGTACACATAAAACATGTCAGGTGCTGAAAAGTGCTGTGGAGGAAATAAAGCAAGGCAAGAACTACCTCGTCAGGGAAGACCTCTTCTATAGGAGGAGACCTCAGAAAGCTGGGCTGGGAGCTGCGGAGATGTGAGAAGCACGTTCTAGCAGGGGAGGCTGTCGGTCCAGAGGCCCTGAGGCAGGCGTGTGCTGGGTGTGTGGCGAGAACAGCAGGGGCCATTGTGGCTGGAGCTGGGGCATGTGAGGAAGCTCTGTGGGAGTGCCATCAAAGAGAGAGCAGGGCCAGATTTTATGGCCCATTATAACACAGATGTCTTGAGGAAGGTGTAATTTTAAACTCCATCCCAGTGACATGATTAATAAAAAGGTGTCCAGCTTAGTATTTTGCAGCAAATAGTATGAACTTGCAAACTTTTGAACCAGGACCCTGTTTAGAGAGGATTGCAATTTAATAAAGAAACCCCCTGTGTAATAAATATTCTCTTTGACATTCTTCTCTTTTTTTAAATTCTGAATTCTTGAATAATCCTTATTTACATAATCCTAGTATAATTTGGATGTTGCTTACCAGAAGCCAGAAGTTGACCCTAGAGGTTTCTGTTCTGCCAGGAGCTTGTGGATAGACTTTTGGAGCTGTTCTTAGTGATTACTCCTGTTCTTAGTGGCCCTGTGGAGCTGCTAAGACAGCTCATCAGCAGGGTGATGCCTCTTGCTTAATTCTCACAGTACCTTCTCCAAGCTGAAGTTAGTGGAACCCTTGGTCCAGATTTTTTTTTCCTGAGTCTATTTAACAACAACTCTTAGAAAGAACAAAGCAAATCACGTGTAACAAAATACTTTGCTTCCAGAATTAGTGTAAAACTAATATTCTTTATCATTATAATTAACTCCTTTAAGGCAAGGATTTTCCTCTTTGTTTTTTTCTCTTTGTGTCCCACAAGGCCCAAAGTTATCCCCAGTAGTAGAGACTCAATAAACATTTGTTTTTAGTGTATGAAGTAAGAACTACCTTTAGGGCTTTTATGTGTTTTGTCCCCAGTTTTCACAGCCTTCCATTCATAGTGTTGTTGTTGTTGTTAAGTACCATGGAGTCGGTTCCTACTCAGAGTGACCCTGCACAGGGTTTCTGAGGCTATAAATCTTTACTGGAGCAGAAAGCCTCATATTTCTCCTGCAGAATGACTGATAGTTTTGAACTGCCGACCTTTAGGTCAGCAGTTGGATTTGTAACCACTGCGTTAGCACTTGGAGTGAAAACTGAGATTAGTAAGGACCTGCAGCCCTGCTTGAGACCACTGGATCCCTCTAGTGTATGATTCCAAAACATGGAGCAGACCATGTATTACTTCTCACAAGATGAACCATGAAACATCCTTGCCAAGCCAGGAACTCTAGACCCCAGGGAACAAAGCCCACTCCCCTGAAGCCTGCTGTTTTGAAAAATTAAGTTAGTAGTTGAAAGGTCTGGCTTGCCAGTGTGTTGAAAAACAAGGATTAAAGTCACAAAGGAGTGTGTTAAAGATGGACCTACTTGACAAAAGTAGCCTATCTGGATTAAAATTGAAATCTCAGCTCATATCATACATCAGCTCTAGGAATATGTTCAATAATTCATTAACCATTAGGGAACTTAAAAAGTATTAGTTTAGTTTCTCTTTAAACAGTGCCTTTATCGTTTACAAGGTTTATGTAAACACTTGCAAATGAATTAACTCTTGTATGCTCCATCCTATGAGTTCCTTGGTGGTACAGTTAACTGTGCTCAGCTTAGCTGCTCACCTGGTAAGCAAACTCACCGTGACTCATGGGCAGTTTGCTAGTAGAGAAGGCTACAAAAGCTCAGTGTGTGTGTGTTGTCAGTTAGGTGCTGTTGAGTTGGTTCCGACTCATAGTGACCCTGTATAGGGTTTCCAAGGAGCAACTGAGGGGTTTGAACAACTGACCCTGTGATTAGTGTGTATTTCGGGTGTACTTTAAATGACGGTTACAAATCGTTCTTAATCAATTGATAATTCTAATAGAGATTCTCATTGTTCTTCATAAAGATGACTTTTATCCTGCCACTGTCTGGGTAATGTGGCTTCTGTATATTAATGACTTAGAGTCATATTTTGGCCTGTGAAGCACAAAAACAATTTTGGAGTCAAGTTTTGTCAGTGCTAATACATGCCCTTTACATCCCACATTTCTTAATTGCTTCAAAACATTTGCCTGATAGGTGAACAGTCCTCACACCCTTGTGAGAAGTAAAGTCATTGGTTAGTTTACACAGAAGTTTGGATTACTCTTCCCCATGAAGTGACAGAAGCCCTGGCAAGGCAGCTGAGATATGCCTTGAGATTAGGCCTGCCAGAGTGAAGCTTATAAAAGGGTGTAAGGAGCAGGAGGCAGCCCAGAGGCAGCCCTCTTGATTGTTAGGTGTTTTTCTTGAGCCTGTCAAGGGCCAGAAACGTGACTAACACCACTCAGGCAGTGGCCAAGACTCCCTGGAAAGGTAAGAACCCAACTGGACTTACCTCCATCTAGGTCACTTCCCCTACTCCTTACAGAAAAGCCATTCCTCATATGGAAGGCTCAGTCGTTTGGAGTCACAGTTCACCTACATGGAGAAAGTCTCCTGTCCCACACAGAGTTTCTGCTTCTCCACCTTTGCTTTATTTCCTGGGACAGGTGAGTGTCCTCACAGATCAAGTGGAAGCCCAAGGAGAGAAGATTCGGGACCTGGAAGTGTGTCTGGAAGGCCACCAGGTGAAACTCAATGCTGCTGAAGAGATGCTTCAACAGGTAAGGGCAGATGTGGCTGAAGGAGTTCTGAAACAGCTCACATGTTGAAGTCCCTTTTTGTGTACAAGTTACAGCTCCAACTGCGTACTTTCCCATCCTGCCTGGAGGTGGGACTGGCTGAATGGTGTGCAATATTTACCCAGCTAGTGAAACCAGCCAGAGCATTGAGAGTGGCAGAGGGGGTGGGGCAGGAGAATAACCTGTTTTGCTGGTTAGACAGATTCACAGAAGGGCACTTTCTCTAGGCCTCAGTGCAATGCAAGAGCATTTAGCTGATAGTGGCAACCCCATCTGGCTTCTGGAATCTAGAAAGCCACTTTGTCAGCTTATTTTCTGCCTTTCCCCTTTCTACTCTCACTCCGCCCCTCCCACTCAATATAGTTTTCTTTGATAAAACTTTACTGTATAAATAGTATTTTAGTATAATTTAATAGATATGAAGAATAAACAATGAGCTGTTCTGCCATCCAAATAAACGTATTAAATGTCTTTGTTTTCTTTTGGGTTTTACCCTTTTGTGTACATATAATTTGCAAAGCTCTGTTCATACTAAAAATATAGTTCAGTCCTCAGTTTTTATATACATGCAGTGCGATGGATCACTTTTATATGACTTTTCTCACCATGGCATTGTAACTTCCATCAAATGACTGGGTGGTGTTAATTGTTGTAAAGTGCCAAAAAGTCAGTTCTGAGTCATAGTGAGCCTCTATAGGGATTCCAGGGAATGGCTGGTGGGTTTGAACTGCCGATCTTGGGGTTCATAATCCAGTGCTGATCCTACAGCGCCACACCAGGAGTCCGAATGTATGGGTGGGACTATGCAAATGAGGTACTTGCCACCCACCAAAGGAACTGGATAGCTTGATAATAATGCAGTAAGGTTTGTGGCACTCTCCTGGTGGTGGTGGTTAAGTGCCAATGAGTCAGTTGTGATGCCTAGTGACCCTGTATTGGGTTTCCAAAGAGCAGCTGGTGGGTTTGAGTTCAGTGCTTTGTGGTTCACAGTACAGTGCTCAGACCATGCAAACCACATATATGAACCCTGACGAGGGGTGGATTTGCCATGTGCTTAAAATGAGCCATCCTAGTGATGGACAGAGGAAACATCATTACCACCAAGAAAGAAGAACTAAGACTGGCGCGCGTCCTAAGGACACAGGATCCCTGAGCTGAGAATCTTCCAGACCAGGGGTGGGGAACCTCTTTTCTGCCAAAATTTATAACATCATTCGCAGGCCATACAAAATTATCAACTTAAAAAACATCCTGCTACATTTGATGTGGTGCTGCATGATACTGCACAAGGAACTGTGGTTGTCTTGGCAGGGCCAGACCCAATGATTTCACGGGCTGGACATTCCCCTCCCCTGTTCTAGACCTGGGACACAGAGAGCTGTAACACCAGAGACAGTGAGAGACAGCAAGAAGCTATGGCAGAAACCAAGAGACCAGCAGGAGACTTTCTGACCCACAGAGGGAGAAAGCTGAGTGGAATAGGTTGCCACCTGGTTAGGCTCACCGCCCCTCACATCAGGGCTTCTGACAAAATGGCTCTGGGCACTTGCCAGTGGAGCTAAAGAGCTGTAACACTTGCCTGAGCAGGGTAGGAACTGTGGGCAAGGAGGCCATGGGTTAAGGAGAGAGGTTTGCCTGTGGATCTACATGAGGAGCTGTCCTGATCAAAGAATGTACCTTGAATTGTTCCTGATCCTGAATTGTAACCTGTTACTTCCTTAATAGGCATCATAACTGAGTATAGTCTCTGAGTTCTGTGAGACCAGTTGCACTGAATTGGCAAACTCAGCAAATCAGTTTGTGGAAGGGGTGTTGGGAGAGCTGGTGTCAGATTGTTAAAACAAAAGTTGGAAGTTGAAGGTGCGTGTGACCTCAGCCTTGGGCTATTGATGCTGATGCTCTCTTCACCCTCGAGAAGCTTAACACTGCCGCTTGCCAGTTTTACCTAGGCATCCTCATCACATCCTGAGTTTTCCCATTTCAGAATTTAACTATGTAATCATCTGTACTACCACTTAGATTTTTTTTAGTGAAAATATTACCTTGTTTTAAGTAATGAACTGCAATGAGTATTTTAGATTTTTTTTTTTTTAAATAATAGAGTCCCAGAGTATGATTATTTTGACTCTTGAATACCTATTTTCAAGTACCTTTTCCAATAATGTGTGAGTAACAGTTTCCTAGGAAAGCAGTCATTATCATCTGTAAATGCTGTTGTGTTAAAAGTGAAGGAAAAATATAAATGCCTCTTTCATGTCTCATTGCATCAGCCAGATCTTATAGAAAAATAGTAAATGAAAATGATGATACTGTACATTCTAGCTTCTTCCTGAGGTGTCACTAATACATCCTCATTAGGTCTAAGTGGTGACTAGGATTTAAAATCAATAAGATATACTAAATCAAGAAGTGACTGTCCTATTCTATCTCTAAAGTGGTTTTTAGGGAGGAATATTAAATTTTTATCAAAAATTTTTTCAGAATCTGTTTACAAACCAATTAGGTTTTGTAAAAAGCAAACAAACAAAACATATTTCATCAGTGGTAGTGATGGTTGTGTACCAGCTAACATTTTCTATATTTTGAAATACAATAAAAACCCGTGGCTAAAGTTGTGTATTTTCTTTTGTTGTGTGTTTCCTTTGTAGCTCCTAGTGTAGTTGTTGTTGTTAAATGCCGTTGAGTCGGTTCCGACCCATAATGACCCTGTACAGGGTTTCCAAGTAGCAGCTGGTGAGTTTGAACCACCGACCTTGCAGTTCAAATGGCTTTGCAGTCTGGCGCATGAACCCACAGCGCCACACCAGGACTCCCCTAGTGTACATAAAAGACACTCACTAATTACTTAAAAAATGAAATCCCCTTAAAATGAGTGGATTCAATTAGATCACTGCCGGGAATCTTTTTCCCCAAAGGGCTGAATTTTTGATCAATTGCCTTGATCAACAAAATATTCAAATTGTTTCTTGAGTTAGTCTTCAAATTTGACTTTTGATTTTAGGATGAAGTTTTTAGTTCTCAGGTGTTCCTGGGTTTCATTTGAGAGCATTTGAAGAACTTTAAAAAAAGAAAGGCACATTAGTATTTTTATGTAATTGTTTTCATAAAAACTAGTCTCAACAGCTCAGAAGCTGTTAATGAAGTTTGGTTTCTTTGCATTGTTGATTAATAAGTTACTACATTCTTGGCTACATAGGATTTTCAATTAAATTGTGTGCCATTTGTTTTGCTCATAATATTCCCTGAAAATCTGAATGGTGATAAGAGTTGAGTCATTCTTTTTAAAACTCAGTAAAGAAAACATCCTGATGGGAAAAAATCTCCAATGACAAGGAAGCGTTGACACAGAAAGTACAAGAAGCAGCCAGACTTGAATTTTCAAGTCTGCACAAGGAATGGTTTGGGGTGGAGGTCAGGGAGGACATGATGGTGGTGGTGGTGGTTATGTGCCATGGAGTTGGTTCCGACTCATAGCAACCCTGTATAGGGTTTCCGAGGCTGTAAGTCTTTATGAAAGTAGAAAGCCTCATCGTTCTCCCGTGGAACCACTGGTAGTTTCCAACTGCTGACTTTGAGGTTAGCAGCCTGACTTGTAACCACTACACTACCAGAGCTCCTGAAGACATGGTAATGTTGTAAAAATACATAGGAAGAGATCAAGAAGTTTTGACTGTGAAGGACACATGTAAGATGGTTAGAGCATGACTCATTGTAGACCCTGAGTTATCAACTACCCACCAGGCTTCTCTTTCAGGGCTGCTCTGCACAGCTCTCGTGGGCAGTGTCTCCACGCCTTGTCACAGTCTCAGTGTCAGTGAGGCTGATTTTAATGTCCAGCACCACCTGGGGAGAGGTCAGTTTGTCCTTCTTAGCCGTATACTGTAGATTGTATTTTGTTGTTCAGTGCTGCAAAAAATGAGCACCGAGCCTCCCTCTCGACAACCCTCTCTACTCAGCTGGCTTCAATAATTCATGGCTGTGGTCAAATAGAACCCAGGCGTCATATTCACAGTTACGGTATTTAGTAGGACAGTTAGGAGGTGAAAGGGCAAGGTCAGAATATTTAGGGCACAGTTGTTTCAGTTCATATGACCTTCCCTCTGCCAGGTCCAGAGGCAGACCTCTCTCGGGCCCTCAACCCCATGGCCTGGCCTCTGCCCTCCTCTGGCTATGTTACCAAGCTCTTTTAGGGCTGCTAATATGTGGCAACACTCACAGAAGCAGCAGTCAAGAAATCAAACGATGTATTGCATTAGGCAAATCTGCTGCACAAGACCTTTTTAAAGTGTTGAAGAGCAAAGATGTCAGCTTGAGGACTAAGGTGCACCTGACCCAAGCCATGGTATTTTCAATAACCTCATGTGCGTGTGAAAGCTGGACAGTGAATAACGAAGACCTTAGAAGAATTGATGCTTTTGAGTTATGGTGTTAGAGGAAAATATTGAAAGTGTCATGGCTGCCAAAAGAACAAACAGTTCTCCGTTGAAAGAAGTGCAGCCAGAGTGCTTCTTGGAGGCCAAGATGGCCAAACTTCATCTCTCATACTTGGGACATATTGTCAGGAGGGACCAGTCACTGGAGAAGGATCTCATGTCTTGTAAGATGGAGGGACAGAGAAAAAGAAGAAGACTCCCAGTGAAATGGATTGGCACTGTGGCAGTATCAGTGGGCTCAAGCGTGGCAACAGTAGTGAGGTTGGCCCAGGATCAGGCAGTGTTTCATTCTCTTGTGCATAAGGTTTCTATGAGTCGGTACCAACTTGATGGCACCTAACAACAACAACAGTAATGTGTGACACTCTAGGATAATCACTGAACCACAAGGTCTGTGGTTCAAATTCATCAGCCACTCCTTGAAAACTCTAGACAGCGTCATTATGAGTCGAAGGACACAACGATAAATGTCCACAGGGCACACTGCTCCACCATAAGCCTCAGCCTGAAGGCATTGAGCTGTAGCTCTTCCCAGTTAAGTGCTTGGAG